GGTGTTGGGTGTTGGGAAGCTTCGAACGATGGAAAAGAGATCCCATTCCTCAGCCATTAGAAAGGTTCGGAAGAGGGAAGAGGGGTTGGTGGAGCACTGAGTTGGGTAATTAATTATTTATATATAGTTGACAGAAGAAAAGAGAGAGAAAGTGGAATTTTGTAGAGATGTGGGAAATTCATTGACATTGTGAAAATGTCAAAGGGGGCCCTTAGAGGGTGATGGCTGATGAATGATGATGATTCTGATGCCCAAGTTCCTACACAGTTAACCAACAGCATTCGGATCTGATTGGACACTGCATGAACTGGAGGATACGTAACACCTCCTCACGCGCCCTTCTCTCGCCTCAGATACACACACTCACCATGTTACATCTTTACTTTACCCAACCATGCTTTCCCCTTTTTAATTTCTAACATTTCTCCCTTCTCAATTGCAACTTTCACTAATTTAATCATGCAAACAATTAATCATATATCATGTATAATTAAATTAAACGTTTAAAACTCACAATGTTATAAAAATTAGTTTATATATAAGTTAAAAATAAAATTTTGGAGAAACTAATAAAAGGAAATTTTTATAAATTAACTTATACATAAACTAATTTTAACTTATAAAAAATTTTCTGTTAAAAGTATTTCTACGTAAGTTTACTTAATCAATCCAAAAATAATAGATATAATAAGTGGTGTAATAAATAAATAAATAAGAGAGAAAGTGAGTGAATGATACATTATAATTAGACTAGTGCGAGTTATTAAAAGTATTTTTAACATATTTGTTTTCACATAATATAAATCGTTACTAGTTAAAATTTATTAAAAGTATAAAATTATATGAGTATATTTAATTTTTTGCTTTTGTTTTGGGGCCATACAGTAAGAAGCAAGACTTCGTGCATTACTCTAATTAAATTTATTAAAAGTATAAAATTATGAGTATAATTAATTAAAGGGCCAAAGTAAGATCAGTTTTATACTTTTTTTTTTTCTCTCTTTTCCCCCATCTTCTAATAACAAAATGAAAATCTTTGAAAGATTATTACAGTTTCAGTGATTGATTTCTTTAATTAACATTTAACAATTTTTGTAGATAGATATTGCCACTTGTTTTTCTTAAGAGACTAAATGGTTGCTTGCCATTAATGCGTAGATAGAAAATCGCATTATTATAACAAAAAGTCTGCAATAAGGCCTGTGGAATTTCATTGATATTTGTCCCGCATATTGAATTGAACAATTATCAATGATTTATTTAAACTTGGATTAAAATTTAAATTTCAATCACATAAATTTTAAATGTTACATTTCGAGAAGATCTCAAACTGAAGTAATTAAAAGGACGCAAAATGTGTGTTTTACCTAAATATGAAAGTGTTAAAAAAAAAAAAAAAAAAAAGCTGACAAGTCGTGTTACTTTATTTTTAAAGCTGAACAAAATTAATTCTGAACCTAAACATATTTAAGATGCATGTTCAAATTAATGTAAATAACACATTTTACGTTGAAACGTGCATGGCGGGAGGAATTAATTCTGAAAATAAAATAAACAAAACATATGTTCTGTTTTTTTAGAAGAACAAAATATGTTCTATGATGTCCCTTTTTTTACTGCAATGTTCCAAGATGTGCTTAATAATAGATTTTAATTTATATACATAGTTATTATAAATTTAGATATCCAATAAAATTTTATTTTATTATTATATTATATTAATAAATAGGATGACGAGATTAAATAATTAGTTCTTACAGGATATATTATATGTATAAATATATTTTACACTAATAGTACATATAAAATAAGCTTAATAAAAAAATAAAGAGGTGGAACTGTGTAGAAGTGAAATTTAATTAAGTTTGAATTATTATTTTTGAACTTTGATAAAAATAAATTCACAATTAAAAATAATGCATAGATTAGAAGTTAAACAAAAAATTGAAATATTTTAAATGACGTGAAATATTAACACGTTGTTTATTTTCTTACGAGGTTTTATCAAAATTTATTATGTGTAAAATATTGTTTTCTGTTGGGAAAACTCGGACTTTCCCGCTTCGTGAAGTTAAGGAAACAACGTCGCGGATCTGTTCCTCTTCAGACAACCCGAAACCCCATTCACAATTCCGAGTCAAAGACGCAGCCTTTTTAACTCATGCAGCGACTTGGACCAGTTCAGGAAAAAAAACGGTTCGAACGAGCCGGTTCGGTGAAAGGTTGAGAAGAGGATATTTCTGAGCGGCGGAAGAGAATTTCCGGCGAGGAATGCGGGTTCCGGCGGCGTCGCCGAAGCGGGAGGTGAAGGGAGAGAGGAGAGAGAAAGAGTTTAGAGAGAGAGTATCGGAGCCTGTAAAAGTACAACTAGTCAAAAGAAGAAGAGAGAATGAAGAAGCGAAATTCTTTTTTAAAAAAATGAAAATAAAAGTTTTATGATGTGGGAATATTAAATTAAATAAGGGAAAGCAGAAACTCTCCTGAAAAGAAATGAGAAGACATTTCCAAAGCGTGACTCCTATTTTTCAATTAATTAAGTAAATTAATTAATTGTTAATTAATTATAAAGGTTTAATTATTTATGTTATTCTTTGTTTTTATGTCTGGGAAAGAGGCACGTAGATGCGAAGGACGGTTTGGTAATTTGGTGGGGGACAACCCGGGTTATTAAACATTAATGCTTGGTTAAGGTTGTAATGAAGGAGAGAATGGCAAAAATGCCCTTCAGTTCTTTTTTGGTTTTTCTCTAAAAGAGGAAAAATAATTATTATCTGTACCAAAATCCACTGTATATAACTAGATAAAATTTATGAAAGTTTCACCAAATATATTGGCTCTCATCATTTTTATTTTTATTTATCTATTAAAATTATAATGAGAATATTAAAATTTAAATTTAAATTCATATATATTCAACATCCAACTCTACCCACTGCACCAATCCTAGAAGTATAATATTTTACAAGAATAAATCAAAAATAATGTTAATGGTCTCATTCTTTATTTGTAAAATAATAGGATTAATATGGATTAAATGTTTAAATATATTTTTAATTCTCATAAAATTTTTTAGTTTTGATCTTTATAAAAAATATGTTTTTCATTCTTTTAAAATTAAAATTATTATTTTTAATCCATATTTTTATGTGATTATTTTTAATTGTTTTTTTATTAAAATATTAAGATATTATTATCCATGATTATTAATCATATCATATTAATATTTGACACTTCTAAAAATTCATACAAAATTTTTAAAATAATAATTATTTATCTACATTAAAATAATCATCAAGAATTAAAAGTAATGGCTTTAAATTTTATAGGAATTAAAGTTAAAGAAAAATATTTTACAAAAATAAAATTAAAATTTATTCATTTTACAAGAATCAAAATAATATTTATAAAATTTAGAAAATGAAAAATGTAAAAAAAAATTTACAAAAATTAAAATCAATATACACTCATTTTATAAAAACTAAAAATATATTTCAGCCATTAATAAAATATTTACTATTTTTTTTTTTACATATTCGTCTTGATTTATTTTTTTGGAAAATATTTTATTTGAATTAAAATTTTAGAAGATAGTGAAATTAATGTTTAACTATTTTTATATTAAGAAAAATATTTTGTATAGAGAAAACTAAATAGGTATTATTTAAATCAATCACATAATAAAATATATTACTATATTGTAAATTTAATTATTAGTTGTTATTAATATTTTAGATTTTTTTCCTAAAATATATTATAAAAAATTATGTTGAATAATTGTTATTTCACCTGTATGCTTCTCTAATTTTTAAAATTAGTTTTTTTTTTACCTCATCTCCTTAGATATATCCTTTTTAGACATACTTATAAGGAGAAAAATAAATGTATTGATTGGTTGGCAAAATTAGGAGTTAATTCTTTTGATAATTTTTTTGTTTTGTCTAAAATGTTCAAGACAATTAACTATTATAGGAATAGTTAGATTTTTCGTTCTCCTTCTTTTCTGTCATTTTCATTGATAAGAAAAATTTCATGTCAATATAGAATGTTTTTATTTTACACAGATAATATGATTATTAAAATACATGTATAGAGAGATAAAAGAGAGATTCATTTACTCAAGAATAAGTCTATTTAAATTTAGACTACTTTATAATTCATGTTTAACATCAAATTTCAATGATTCAATCGTTGAATTTAAAGTTCTTAATGCATAAATTAAGTTTACAATTTTTTTTTAAAAATTAAGTAATCATGTAAAAATAAACTTGGATTCTTAATTTATTACATAAGTTTTAATTGAATAATAACGTAAAAATAGACTTAGATTCTTTATTACGTAAGTTTTAATTGAAACTTACTCTAAAAAAATATTTTTTTTCTTATATATAAGTTCAGAAAGAATAAAAAAAATATCCAATAAATCTCTACAAGTACAAATTAACAATTACATCAATACATAATTAAAATAATGTGTGACTAAAATAATAATATTAATATTTAATTACGATAAATTTTTTTTACTTTTGTCAAATATCAAATTATTGCATAACAATTCATTAAGTTGTACAAAAATATTCCTATAAATTATTTTACATTTTGCTTATTGAAGAATAATAACTATTGAGTGTGTAAATTAATTGACATGATATTATTCTAACTTAGTTAATAGTATTACTTTTAAATCTTAAATATGTAATTATATTAAATACTCAAAAGATTGTGTACAACAATTATATATATCCAAACACAATTATATATGTTTGATCTCTACCAAAGGATAATCAAAGAGTAATAAAAATAAGAAGAAAAAAACTTGACAAAACTATTTATTTGTTGAGAAGTTTGGTAAGAAAAACATGATAAATAAACATTTTTCCTTCAACTATTTTTCAATATTTGGACATTTTATTTTTTGTCCCTTCTCATTAATTAAAACTCTCTCTCTCTTTGAGGTTTT